GTGGTGATGCAGGTGGTAGTACTAAGAAGCACCAGGCCATCACACTGGAAACAAAAGTGGACATGATTATTTTTTTTAACACGTTGGCTGTTTCCCATCAAGGCAGGGTGACCGAAAAAGAAAAAAAAAAAAAAAGAAAGAACAAACTTTCATCATCATTCAACACTTTCCCCATCACTCACATAATCACTGTCTTTGCAGAGGCACTCAGATATGACAGTTTAGATGTCTTGTGTTCACATATGTTTAAACTAGGTACAGGTCTTCCTCAACATTCATGTTTTCAACTTTCGTGGGCTTCACACATTCGCGAATTACCAACCGCCAAGTTCCCAGCCACCAAATCATATTTAAGTTTCCCACCACCTGCAAGTCCCTACTACCCTCCCTCTGACCCCCCCAACTGGCAGCCAGCCCTCCCACCAGTGTGGTGAGTGTTTTGTTTGTTCCTTATTTGCTATTAAACCAGTATAAATAATGTAAACCCATTCATGACTGCATATTGGAATGGCTATTCGGACAGGTATTGGACGGTGACATCATGTGCTTACTCTTGAACACACCAAAGAATCAAAAATTTCTGCTACTGCTAACAACAACAACAACAACAACAGCAGCAGCAGCAGCAGCAGCAGCAGCAAAAGCAAAAGCAGCAGCAGCAGCAAAAGCAAAAGCAGCAGCAGCAGCAAAGGCAAAAGCAGCAGCAGCAGCAAAAGCAAAAGCAGCAGCAGCAGCAAAAGCAAAAGCAGCAGCAGCAGCAAAAGCAAAAGGGAGCAGCAGCAGCAAAAGCAAAAGCAGCAGCAGCAGCAAAAGCAAAAGCAGCAGCAGCAGCAAAAGCAAAAGCAGCAGCAGCAGCAAAAGCAAAAGCAGCAGCAGCAGCAAAAGCAAAAGCAGCAGCAGCAGCAAAAGCAGCAGCAGCAGCAAAAGCAGCAGCAGCAGCAAAAGCAGCAGCAGCAGCAAAAGCAGCAGCAGCAGCAAAAGCAGCAGCAGCAGCAAAAAAACGCAGCAGCGCAAAAGCAAAGCAGCAGCACAGCAAAGCAAAAGCGCAGCAGCAGCAAAAGCAAAAGCAGCAGCAGCAGCAAAAGCAAAAGCAGCAGCAGCAGCAAAAGCAAAAGCAGCAGCAGCAGCAAAAGCAAAAGCAGCAGCAGCAAAAGCAAAAGCAGCAGCAAAAGCAAAAGCAGCAGCAAAAGCAAAAGCAGCAGCAAAAGCAGCAGCAGCAGCAAAAGAAAAAGCAGCAGCAGCAGCAAAGGCAAAAGCAGCAGCAGCAGCAAAAGCAAAAGCAGCAGCAGCAGCAAAAGCAAAGCAGCAGCAGCAGCAAAAGCAAAAGCAGCAGCAGCAGCAAAAGCAAAAGCAGCAGCAGCAGCAAAAGCAAAAGCAGCAGCAGCAGCAAAAGCAAAAGCAGCAGCAGCAGCAAAGCAGCAGCAGCAGCAAAAGCAGCAGCAGCAGCAAAAGCAGCAGCCAGCAAAAAGCCAGCCAGCAAAAGCAGCGCAGCAGCAAAAGCAGCAGCAAAAGCAGCAGCAGCAGCAAAAGCAAAAGCAGCAGCAGCAGCAAAAGCAAAAGCAGCAGCAGCAGCAAAAGCAAAAGCAGCAACAGCAGCAAAAGCAAAAGCAGCAGCAGCAGCAAAGCAAAAGCAGCAGCAAAGCAGCAGCAAAAGCAGAGAAAGCAGCGCAGCAGCAGGGAAAAAGCAGCCCGCAGCAGCAGCAGCAGGCAGCAGCAGCACAAACAGCAGCAGCAAGCAGCAGCGCAGCAGCACAGCAAGCGCAGCAGCAGCAGCAGCAGCAGCAGCAGCTGCAGCAGCAGCAGCAGCAGCAGCCAGCAGCAGCCAGCAGCAGCAGCAGCCAGCAGCAGCAGCAGCAGCAGCCAGCAGCACAGGCAGCAGCAGCAGCGGGAGCAGCCCGCAGCGCAGGGAGCAGCAGCAGCAGCTGCACAGCAGCAGCAGCAGCAGCAGCGCAGCCAGCAGCAGCAGCAGCAGCAGCAGCAGCAGCAGCAGCAGCAGCAGCAGCAGCAGCAGCAGCAGCAGCAGCAAGCAGCAGCAGCAGCCACAGCGCAGCAGCAGCAGCAGCAGCCAGCAGCAGCAAGCAGCCCGCAGCAGCACAGCAGCAGCCAGCAGCAGCAGCAGCACAGCAGCAGCAGCAGCAGCAGCAGCAGCAGCAATAATAATAATAATAATAATAATAATAATAATACGTAGAAATTTAAAAGGAAATTGTACAAAATTTAGAGGGAGTGTTGCACATCGCAGTGGGCTTTGGTTTATGCTTTGGGAAAGTGAACATTAGTCTCTGTGCTCTTCCAAACATTTTACAATAATTCATGTGTTTGGTCTGAGAATTGATTTCGACTGGAGTGGGGAGGCAGTGGTTGAGAACGGGGTTTAGGCATGGGTGAGGCAGTGGTGAGGCAGTGGTTGAGGAATGGTTTGAGGGAGTGGTTGGAAGCAGTGGTTGAGGCAATGGTTTGAGGCAGTGGTTGAGGCAGTGGTTGAGGCAGTGGGTGAGGCAATGGTAGAGGGGAGTGGGTGAGGCAGTGGGTGAGGGAAGCAGTTGAAGCAGTGGGTGAGGCAGTGGTTGAGGCAGCAGTTGAGGCAGTGGTCGAGGCAGTGGTATTAATAACTGCATGTTAATAATAATAATAAACATGTTATTGATTGTATTTTTATTATTTATAACATATTAAATACCACTGCCTCAACCGCTGCCTCTACCAGTCCCTCAACTGCTGCCTCACCCACTACCTCAACCACTGCCTCACCCACTGCCTCACCCCCTGCCTCAACCACTGCCCCTTTCCATTGCCTCCCCCCACTGCCTTACCACTGCCTCAACCAACTGCCTCACCCACTGCATCAACCACTGCCTCACCCACTGCCTCTACCTTTTCCTCACCCACTGCCTTACCATTGCCTCACCCCCTGCCTCAACCACTGCCTCAACCACTGCCTCTACCATTGCCTCACCCACTGCCTCTACCCTTGCTCACCCACTGCCTCAACCACTGCCTCACCCCTGCCTCTACCACTGCCTCAACACTGCCTCTACCATTGCCTCACCACTGCCTCTACCATTGTCTCACCCACTGCCTCAACCCCTGCCTCACCCACTGCTCTTACCCTTGCCTCACCCACTGCCTCTACCATTGCCTCACCCACTGCCTCTACCATTGCCTCACCCACTGCTCAAACCACTGCCTCACTCACTGCCCCCTACCATTGCCTCACCCACTGCCTCTACCCTTGCCTCACCCACTGCCTCACCCACTGCCTCATCCACTGCCTCACCCACTGCCTCAACCACTGCCTCTACCATTGCCTCACCCACTGCCTCAACCACTGCCTCACCCACTGCCTCAACCATTGCCTCAACCACTGCCTCACCCACTGCCTCACCCACTGCCTCAACCGCTTCCTCAACCACTGCCTCTACCACTCCAGTCGCACTCAATCTACAAGCACCAAACAATGAATTATTGTGAAATGTTTGGAAGAGCACAGAGACTAATGTTCACTCCAGCATAAACAAAGCCACACTGACAATGTGTCAACCACTCCCTCACATTTTTGCACAATTTCCTTCTTCAATTCTATCGTATTATTATTATAATTTTTTATTATTACAGTATTATTTTATTATATTTATTTTATTATTATTATTTTTTATTTTTTATTATTATTAACTACTACTACTACTATTGTTATTATTAGCAGTAGCAGAAATTTTTGATTCTTTGGTGTGTTCAAGAGTAAGCACATGATGTCACCGTCCAATACCTGTCCAAATAGCCATTCCAATATGCAGTCATGAATGGGTTTACATTATTTATACTGTGGTTTAATAGCAAATAAGGAACAAACAAAACACTCACCACACTGGTGGGAGGGCTGGCTGCCAGTTGGGGGGGTCAGAGGGAGGGTAGTAGGGACTCACAGTGGTTGAAGAAGTGGAGGCAGTGGTATTTAATAACATACATGTTATTAAACCATAACATGTATGTATTTAGTACAATTTACAACATTTTCATGTATTTTTTTGATGGGTTGGGTTCAACAAGTTAAAGGAAGCATATTTTATTTATTTCCCCACAATATATGGGGGACCAAACTTTTACGATTTTTTCAACATTGCGGGGCATTGATCCCAACCCCCGCGAAAGTTGAGGGGGGACCGTACACTTCTAAGTTACTTTAGTTCATACATACATATAGACATATGTAAATACTTTTGACAATTTTTTGGCTTAAAACAATGGGCTTTGAAAGATGCTCGGAATGAAAATGTTTGTAAGTTTTGGGGAAAATCTGTAATAAAATAGTATGGTAAATGGTAGAGACAAAAAGGGAAACCCCCACCTCCGGCGGCGGGGGCACACACAGCAGTATGTAGTATAGTAAGTGGTTAAAGGGGCAAGAACAGTAATGCAGGAGGCTGTGGGGTGGGGGAAGTGAAGGGCAGAAACCTAAGGCAGATGAAAGGAAACCCAAATCAAGAAAAAGACAAAATAGGAAAGAAGAGGTAGAGAGAGGAGGAGAAAAAAGAATCAGGTTAAATCACACATTCTAAAGTTTGGAACATTTGATAATGTAATAGGTAAGGAAGATGTCTACTGAGATAAAGCTAGGACTAAGATTCATACAAGGAAAATTGTGTATAAGGGGTGATTCAACAAGATGGCAACTGTGAAAGACAGAAGTAGGATATACAGTTTTAGCAGATGACCAGTCAATGGGATGACCGTGACCTCTAACATGACAAAAAAGAGCATTATTGGTGTTGGCAAGCATAACACTACTTTTTTTGCTCCTTGAGTCTTATTTTTGCCATTTATGTGGCAAAATATTTTTGCCATTTATTTGAAAAAAAATATTTTTTGCCATTTATTTGAGAAAAAATATTTACACAATTTTATAAATCAGAATTATTTTAGCAATTTTACAAGTTTTAGAGTCAGCATACCTAATAATCTGAATTAATATAGCATGCTATGGTGACATCACATACACTCACTTTCTGGTGACTGTCTGACCAGATATATTATCACGGAAGATCAAAGAGAGAATATAGTCCACACCTCGTGAAGGATCCAAACGTCGATGCCCATACTCGATTCCTCTATACTCTAAATTACCATTTTTCTTAGTATGCATGTGAGTTACACTTGCATTAACTACACTCTGTAAATAAAATGAAAATTAATTGCTAGTGTAAATGCTGTATCCCTACTTATGCAATTCTGAAAACTGGAACAAAGATGTTATTTGCATAAGAGTATTCTTCAATATCTTTTAATTTATGGTAAGTAAATACCTACCTGTCAGACAAGCTTTCTCATGTTTACACTATGTGATACTTGACTTTTATACATATTTGGTCATATTTATTGCTGCTGAAGAGCTTCACTAGTCTGTAACATTAGTATACATTTTCAAAGTGCTTTTGCAAGAAAGACAAACATAAGTAAAGAAATACAGTGTACCCCCGACATTCGATGGCATCGACATTCGATAAATCCGACATTCGGTGAATTTTAACGCAAAAATTTCGCCTCAACATTCGATGGAAAACCCGACATTCGATACGATTCGTACGAGACGTGTCCACGTGTGGCCTGAACTGCACCATGTGTGCCAGTGTTTACAAGCCAGCCAGTGTGCGCGCATCTAAGGATACATTCGGTACATTCCATATTATCCATATTATCACTGTTTTTGGTGCTTGTTTCTGTAAAATAAGTAACCATGGACCCCAAGAAAGCTTCTAGTGTCAACCCTTCGAGAAAAAAGGTGCTAATGACTATTGAAATGAAGAAAGAGATAATTGCAAAGTACGAAAGTGGAGTGCATGATGATTTGGTAAAGAAATTGCCTGCAACTAGTGGTGATGTGAGTGAATTTAAGGCCAGCAAAGGTTGGTTTGAAAGATTTAAGAATCGTAGTGGCATACACAGTGTGGTAAGGCATGGTGAGGCTGCCAGTTCAAATCCTAATGGAAGGGGATTCCCCTTCTAAACACTAACACCATCCACACTCTCCCCTCCTCCCATCCCATCAATCATCACCAGATCTTTATTAAAGGTAAGTGTCAATTATTCTATTGTTATTAATCTATTGTTATTGTTGTTATTGTAATTATTCTATTGCATTAAACTTAATATTTCATGTGTCTTGCACGGATTAATTTGATTTCCATTATTTCTTATGGGGAAAATTAATTCGACTTTCGATAGCTCTCAGGAACTGATTAGTATCGAATGTCGAGGGTCCACTGTACACTGTTGTATTTCAACAGATACAGTGGAACCTCAAATTTCGAACCTATCACTTATCGAACTCTTCAAAAATCGAACGCTTTTTTCGAACCAACTTTGTCCCTATTATCAAACTCGCCCCTATTTTCGAACTGCCGGGTACCGGACCTGTCCAGCAGCCCGCTCTGTCCGCGTCCCCATGCAGGCGCCGTGAGCCAGTCTGGTTTTGTTGATGCTTGAGTGAATACTAACCTGCGCTCTCATTCAAACATTTTACGATTATTTCATTGTGTTTAGTGCTTGTGGGACTGTGAAATAAGCTACCATGGGCCCAAAGAAACTTGCTAGTGGTACCCCTGTAGTAAAGAAAGTGAGAAACATCATCGATGTGAAGAAAGAAATAATACAGAAGTATGAGAATGATGTGAGACTTGTTGAGCTTGCCAGGATGTATGGGAAAAACAAGTTGACTATCGGTTCTATCCTGGCAAAGAAAGAACAAATCAAGGAAGCTGATGTTGCAAAAGGTGTTAATATGCTAACCAAAAAAAGACCACAGACAATCGATCAGGTTGAGAAGTTGTTGCTGGTGTGGATCAAGGATAAAGAGATGGCAGGTGATAGTGTTTCAGAGACCATTATTTGCGAAAAGGCAAGGAAGTTGCACTCCAATCTGGTACAGAAAACTCCTGAAACCAGTGCTGATAGTGAATTTAAGGCCAGCAGAGGCTGGTTTGACAGATTTAAGAAGCATAGTGGCATACACAATGTTGTAAGGTATGGTGAGGCAGCCAGTTCAGACAAACGGGCAGCTGAGAAGTTTGTATAGGAGTTTAAGGTTTACGTAGACACTGAAAATTAAAACCCCAACAAGTGTTCAATTGTGACAAAACAGGCCTGTTTTGGAAGAAAATGCCAAAGAGGACCTACATTACTCAGGAAGAAAAGGCACTCCCAGGACACAAGTCTATGAAAGACAGGCTAACTCTTTTATTCTGTGCTAATGCTAGTGGTGATTTTAAAGTGAAGCCTTTACTTGTGTATCATTCAGAAAATCCCAGAGTGTTTAAGAAAAACAATGTCATAAAGAACAAGTTATGTGTCTTGTGGAAAGCAAATAATAAGGCATGGGTCACAAGGCAAATTTTCAAAGCATGGGTCCATGAAGTGTTTGGCCCCAGTGTGAGAAAATACCTCCTAGACAATAATTTGCCACTCAAGTGCCTCCTATTAATGGACAATGTTCCTGCTCATCCTCCTAACTTATTAGACCTCTTGTCTAGGGACTTCAGTTTTATAACAGTGAAGTTCTTGCCTCCTAACACCACTCCTCTCCTCCAGCCCATGGACCAGCAGGTCATTTCTAACTTCAAAAAACTCTACACAAAAGCAGTGTTTGAAAAGTGCTTTGAAGTGACCACAGACACTAAGTTGACCCTAAGAGAGTTCTGGAGGAATCACTTCAATATCTACAGCTCCATATGCCTTACAGGTAAGGCTTGGGAGGGAGTGACTTCCAGGACTTTGAACTCTGCTTGGAGACAACTGTGGCCAGATTGTGTCCAAAAGAGGGATTTTGAAGGGTTTGATGCTGACCCTGACCCTGACCCTGTCCCTGACCCAGTTGACCCTCTGCCTGTTGTGGACTCTATTGTGGCATTGGGGAACACCCTGGGGCTGGAGGCAAGTGATGAGGATGTGGAAGAGTTAGTGGAGGACCACAAGGAAGAGCTAACCATTGAAGAGCTGGAAGAGCTTCATCTGGAACAGTATCAGACCACAGCTGAGGACCTTGCTTCAGAGGAGGAGAAGGAAGAGGGAGTGGATAAGGTGCCTTCTTCAAAGATTAAGGAGATTTGTGCCAAGTGGAATGATGTCCAAATGTTTGTGCAGAAGTACCACCCTGAGCAAGCTGAAACAAGCCATCTTTGCAAGAAGTTCAGTGACAAAACCATGTCCCATTTTAGGGAAATCTTAAAGAGGCACCAGAAACAGAGGACTGTGGACAGCTATTTTGTGAGACAGGGGTCCAGTGACTCTCAAGCTGGTCCTAGTGGCATTAAAAGACAGAGAAGGGAAGTAACCCCAGAGAGGGCTTTATCTGAAGTCCTCATGGAGGGGGATTCTTCCAAACACTAACCCCAACTCCCTCTCTCCTCCTCCCTATCTTCCAGATGCCATCACCAATCTTCAATAAAGGTAAGTAAAAATGTTATTTTATATGTTTATTTACATTTATTAATACACCTACCATCCGACTTACGACCTGCTCGACTTACGACCACTCGACTTACGACCATGTTTTTTATGCTAAATTTCTGGGAAATAAACAACTATTTGTGTTGTACACAGTGTTTATCCTAAACCTTACAGTATAAAATACAGTACTAACAATATAAAAAGTAAAGTAAAACATGAAATACCAACATAAAACAATAAAATAAAGTCATAACAAAAATGTTTTGTTGATATTCAGTAGTAAAGTTCGACTTACGACCGGTTTCTCGGAACCAAACTCGGTCATAAATCGGATGGTAGGTGTACATAATTGAACACTATATTTGTTGTATGTATGTAAAACTGTGTAGGTAGTAGGTTGGTAAACAGCAACCACCCAGGGAGGTACTACCGTCCTGCCAAGTGAGTGTAAAACGGAAACCTGTAATTGTTTTACATGATGGTAGGATTGCTGGTGTCTTTTTTCTGTCTCATAAACATGCAAGATTTCAGATATGTCTTACTACTTCTTCTTACACTTAGGTCACACTGCATATACATGTACAAGCATATATATACATACCCCTCAGGGTTTGCTTCCATTTTCTTTCTAGTACTTGTTCTTGTTTATTTCCTCTTATCTCCATGGGGAAGTGGAACAGAATTCTTCCTCCATAAGCCATGCGTGTTGTAAGAGGCGACTAAAATGCCGGGAGCAAGGGGCTAGTAACCCCTTCTGTATATATTACTAACTGTAAAAGGAGAAACTTTCGTTTTTCCTTTTGGGCCACCCTGCCTCGGTGGGATATGGCTGGTGTGTTGAAAGAAGATGTAAAACTGTAGTTAACCCTTTGACTGTCACGGCCGTATATATATGTCTTACGAGGTATCGTGTTTGACGTATATATATACTCATAAATTCTAGCGGCTTCAAATCAAGAAGGAGAAAGCTGGTAGGCCCACATGTGAGAGAATGGGTCTGTGTGGTCAGTGTGCACCACATAAAAAAAATCCTGGAGCACGCAGTGCATAATGAGAAAAAAAAACTCCAACCGTTTTTTTTAATTAAAATGCCAACTTTGTGGTCTATTTTTGTATAGTATTTATGGTTGTATTCTCGTTTTCTTGGTCTCATTTGATAGAATGGAAAACATTTTATAGAAAAAGAGATGATTTTGATTGATTTTACTATAAAAAAAAACTGGAACTGGTGCTCAAAGTAGGGGAAATGTTTGATTTTTGCCGATGTTCAAAAGTAAACTAATGGCATCATTGTCCAATAAATGTCCAACTAGCCATTTGAATATGCAGTCATGAATGGGTTGATGTTATTTATACAATTATTACAGTATTGGAGTAGTCTGCATAACAGTAAATTTTCTATTTTTTGTTTGAATAAAAATTCAAAATAGAAAGCAAGAGTAATATCAGAGGGGCCTGGAGACATGACTGATGAACAAAGAAAATGTTATTTTAGAGCCAGGAATGTCTGCATTGTTTATTCTAGACCTTATTTTGAAATTGTCATATTTTTTAATTTTCATGAAATTGGCCAAATTGCAAATTTCTGACCACGTTATTGGGTAGTTGAAATTGGTAAATGAGCAGTTTCTTGTACTCAATCGATAGAAAAAATGGAGTTCTAAAGAAATAGCTATGAGTTTGGTCGACTGAAACAAAGGAATTAGCCGAAAATAGGGCTCAAATTGG